TTTTTTTTCCCCCCTGTTTGCTGGCAGTTCTGAAAAATAGGGGGGGAAAAAAAAAAAAAAAAAAAAGATTTAGAGTCAAATGAAACACCATTCAACATGAAAGGAAACATTTTGTTTTGATTCTGAGCTTTTTAAAAACTTTCTAAATGAAGTTGAAAGAAATTTGGAAACAAAAGTTTCACATCTAAAGTTGACATTTCAAAAATGCCACAATGAAACTTTTGATTTTTTTTTTAGGGTCGGGGAGGGGGGTGGAGGGTGGGAGCAGTTTAATTGAAACAATTCGCTGAAGAAAGTTACAGCCAAAAGTTTCACCTGGTTCTAGTATTTATACATTAATGATTAAACATTAGTTTTGACATTTGAGTGTACTACAACAGAATACCACTGTCTCCTGCATGAAGACCCAAGCCCAGATTCTCGCCTGTGTTTGGGTTGCTCTGCACATTACTATTATTTAAAGCTGGCACTCTCTCTGAGTATGGAGGGAATCTCTCATGGCATAGAATCATGGCTCCTAAAACACCCTCTTCCCTTCAGCTGGCTTAGGGAGCGTGGCCACCGCTTCCTGGCAGTCTCCAGCTGCCATGATGAACATAGGGGAAAACCATTCAGACTGCTTTAACTTCCACTGGGGGAACAGGCTTGGTGTACTACTGACCCAGGTGACCAAGTGAGCACAAAGGTAGCAGAAAACCACCTTTGCAACCCCTCCTCCGACAATGCACTGGGTGCTCTTCAGCTGCCTGGGCCCTAGATTTCTTTTGTTTTTGTTTTTTTTGCAAATGGGGCAGCAGAAAAGATATTCCAATTTTTGCACATTTTGCAGAATAAGCTGATCTCAGCACTAGGGAGTATTCCTGTAAGTTACATGTATACATCCCTGTGCCCTGATATGAAACTGTTCTCTATATCTTCGTACTCTAGGGGGGGACAGGGCTTGCAGGAAGAGATTTAATAAGATTTCTAATAGCTAAGTTTGCTAGCCCACAGACATTTCTGGGTGTACTGCAGTGGGAAGGTGAGGAGCGCAGAGCCTCTCTAAAGCATGGGAAGTTACTTTAATTAAAGATAAATTCAAATTTTAATTATGTAGACATTTTTGGGCCAGCAGATCAAGCCCTTTTCCATGTCAAATACAACTGAAACCTTGTAAAACCAAACCACTGGATCTTATTAATCCTTGGCAGTCAGTACAGCTTTGCTTTGTGGTTTTCTGGATATGGAGTGTTTGGCCACCCTTACTGTCTGAAAATGTGTATTTGTATTGTGCTCACAAGATAGATGTAAGTGCAGATTGTATTTGCATAGGCCCCTGTGAAATGGCCCTTTCAAGGTACATCTTCACAGTGACTGGCAGCCCATTGCAGCGAATCTCAGAGCCTGGGTTGACAGACTCAGGTTTGCGGGACACCACTGAAAATAGCTGTGTAGACATTTGGGCTCGGGCTCTGAAGCCTAGGGAACAGGGTGGGCTTCAGAGCCCGAACTCCAGCCTGCACCCCAATTACCACACAGCTGTCTCTAGCACCATAGCTCAAGCCCAGGTCAGTCAACCCAGGCTCTGAGACTTGCTGTCCTGGGCTGTGTATAGGTACCCATTGAGTCTGTTGTATTTCTTCCTATGGCACTGAAACAGCTAAGAAATAGGAATTGCTAATCTTTTATGCTGCTCAGTTCTATGGTATTACTGTGATCTGTGTTGCTTAACAATTAGAAATTAATTTGGGGGTTTATTAAATTTTTGTCAGGATGGAATGTAATGAAGTTAGTGTTCTTGAAATGGAGATCATCAGGCAATGTGCAAGTTTCCCCACTCAGTTCGTCCCAGGCACCTTTATCCTATCTTGCCATACCTTTGTGACTTGATCTTGCGCCTCTTCTGAGCAAAGGTTACCATTCCTACTGAATGGGTGTGCATGCATGTGTGCAGCTTGGTATGTGATGTGCATAAATACCATTAAGGATGGGCTAGGCTGAGATCATTGAATTCCTTTCACATGGGTCTCCAGAGATGAGACTAATGTATTAATTCACTATGCTGTCCAATGACATTTCTTAAAGCTCTAATTGAAAGCTCAGTCCAAGGTTGGGTTTTTTTGGCGGGGGGAGGGGGGGATTAGTAAATAGGTCAGTGACTCAGTCTAATGATGCTTCAGCATAAATATCAATTGAGTTCTTAAGAACAAATCTAAAGGAAAGTTGCTGGAGTTGCAGTGTACCGTGGGCAAAATGAATTTCCATTACTAATGTTGAGCTGGCCAAGAATGTGTGTGTCCAAATCTCTTGGCCAGTAAAACGACACCAGCTGCTTATATTCTCAAATGAGTGTGGGTTAATGTTTCAGTAACCAATTGCTATTCATTATGCTTTTTATGCTTCCTTTTCTGTGTTCTGTATAGACTCTTATACTGCAGTCATCACCATAGTATCTGAATTCTGAAACCATAAAACCTACAGTGAAACCATGCAGAGCTACTGAAGTACTTAGTATTTAATCATCGGAAAGATCAAATTCCTCAGTATATACTTTGATATCTCTAGAGCATCTTTTATTTTGCTTTATTCAAATAACGTGAGGCTGTGCTTCTTCACAAGGCAGTGATCATATTCTGGTCTTCATAAACTCCAAGGGCAAAAGCAGGAAGCTTATTAGATCAGGATACAATTATTAGTGAGTTAATATTAGGCTTTTATTATATTAAAATTATATAAATATCTGTAAGAATAATAATTTGAAACAGCATAGAAACTGTTAATCTGTTAAATGAAGTATATTGGTTAATCTGTAATATTATAACAACTTAATATTTGCAGTAATAAAGGTTAACTAATTTGGGCCAGATTCTGAATAAGAACTCTCCCAATATAATTTTAAATGTATAATGAAAAAAAATTATTTAGAGTTTTTGTGAAATGACCACTTCCAACCCCACAAGAGATGTAAAGTGTGTGGCAGAGGGACAGAATATTAAGACCGAAGTAGTTAAAATATTTTTTTAAGAAAAAGTGACATTTTATTGGTGTTTACATATGATTTTAACTTTTTTGTGGTCTTTTCTTTCCTTTTCTCATGTAAAGTTTAGCAATTATGTATATCGTGTGTTCTGATTGGCTGAGGACCATCTTTAGCCAATCAGAGTTCAGGGATTTTCACAAAACTGTGGTAAAAAAAATATATATTTCCTATTTTCTTTATGTAATAACAAGCACATTCTCTTTGCAGGGTTATCTGATTAGCTGCGTATGGAACTGTTACCGGTACATTAATGGCAGAAACAACTCTGATGTGCTGGTGTACATTGCTACCAATGACACTGCGGTAAGCATGTCTCTTAACATTGTGTTTTATTTTACCATTCCTCAGTGTTATTGACAGCTTCTTAACCTTTAACCCAAAATTCTCTTTGTGCACTAAACACTTACTATCGACATCCTTGTATCCAAGTTCCAACTCATGGTGAAGCAGATCAGTCTGTTGAGGAGAATGTTTGTTACATAGCTCCTAGTGGTGTGTGTGTGTGTGTGTGTGTGTGTGTGTGTGTGTGTAGTATCTGCACCACTGCAAAATGCTACAGTTGTGATTTGGTGCTCAGCAACTGAGAATTAGGTATGATATTTGTATGACTTGGCTGTTGTTTTTGTATTATAAGAACACTGAGTAAAATGAAGACTATATTGAAATAAATTAGTAGACAAGTCTTGATCATAAAGGACAGGAAGTTGTCAGTTCTTTCTGCAATAATTTAGTGTTGCTGTTATAAGATATGAAGAATCTGTGTGCTGTTGGCTCATTGTAAACACAACTGAATGAATCAAAAAAATGGGTAACTTGACACTGCTGATTCCGCATAGTATGACATTTTTGTGGAGATACTGCACACATGGAACCAAATTCTGCTTTGTTACATCCAAGCTATCCCACTGAGGTCAATAGGTCAAATTCATCTCTGATGTAACTCCACGGACTTTTAAGTGAAGTGGAATTGCAATTTAATGCTTTAAATTACACCAGGATGAATTTGGCCTGTTGGGCTTGCATGAGTAGAAGGGAGGGCAGATCCAGCTAATGAAATTTCAGTATTGCCAACCTCAGATATTCAAAGATCATGATACAGGCTTCCAAAATTAAGTGGTTTAAATATCACGAGACTTAAAAATAAAAAATAAAAGTTGGGGTTGAGAGGTTGCCCTTTGGTTTCAGAACCTTTAGGATGAACTTGAGTTACATTTTTCAAGCTTTCCTGTGCAGCCATGAGGACTTGAACGTTACTATTTATCTTAAATGTAAGCTGAGATTCTCACGTAATTCATTGCCTTCAAGAGGTAGGACTTAAAAAAAAAAAAAATCCACAATATTGCAAGACCCAGATAAAATAATGAGTTGACAACACTGAATTTTGAACATAGAGTTATGGGTTTATTGAAAGCTAAATGAAAGAGGGAGGAATGCATTTGGAACCTACATTGAGTAAAACCAGAAGTTCTGCATGGGAAAAAAATTGATAGCTGTTGTGAAGTCCTTAGGTAGTTGTAAGGACTTAAAATGCTGCAAAATATATAATTCACAACATTGAAAGGCTTGGTTGCAAGATTCTGCAAACTGAATTAACATTGAAACTCTAGTCACACAGGCTTTATATACCTTACATTGAAACCATCTGCTTCATCAATGGCCCCTGGGAAGCAGAGAATTTCAGTTTCGAGTGCTACCTTTTTCTATTGAAATGATTTATCGATAACTTCTCAAGGGAAAAGGACAAGAAAACAGCATGTTCTGAATCTGCCGTGAAAGCAGGATAAAAATGTAAATCGTGTCAGCAAATGAAGTTGTAATTTAATGTACATTTCATACAGTACATCAGTAGGGTTAAAATCTTAGGTACTTCAGTAATGGGGTTGATTAGAGGCAGGGAAAGAACTACCTTCCCTCCTGTCTGGAAGAAAACCTGTTTCTTCCTGTGTTTGGTTACTGATATTATGCTTTTAAGAATGTAAGTGTCCATAATTCTTCATGTAGTGTTAATATATACATATCACTGTGGTATTAGTGACAAGTGTGTCACCGGCTTTCATTTGATACCTTACAAGACACTTTTGGATAAACACTATGACAGCAATGTGTTAGGTGTAGTGAGTTTGTCAGGCTTGCTGACACAGGGTTGTAAACCACCAATGGGCCTCTGTGTCACAGCTTCCTGCACAGCTGCAGGGCCAGGGACACTGGATCCCTGCAGGTGCAAGGTGTGGGGAAGGCTGTGGCCCTGGCAGGGCAGGGTAGAGACTCCTGGCCAGGGCTATGAGGAAGAGATAGAGCCCTGGCCCCGGGGGGAGGCACCCTGCTGCTGAATGGCTCCTACTTGAGGACCAAACATTCAGAAGCAGGGTAACCTCCCCTCTAGTGCAGGGCTTGTTCTCGTCCTTGCAGCCCTGTGGGAGTCTCTGGTTTGCCAGGCCAGGGCTGCAGCGTCCCCTACTCCTGGTATCCAGTTTTCGAACTACATATTAAGTCACCTACATTGTCTCTTGTATCCTGGGACCAATATGGCTACAACAATACTGCAAACAACAATGTTAATTTTATATCTTCCTAGTTTTTTAATCAAAATGTCTTGTGGTATCATGTGAAAAGCCTTACAGAAGTCTAAGTGTATTACATCAACACTGCTACTTGTCTCAAACTTGTAATCTCATCAAAAAAAGATATCCGGTTAGTTTGACAGAACCTATTTTCCATGAACCCAGGTTGATTGGCATTAATTATATTACCCTATTTTAATTCTTTATTAATCGAGTCCTGTATCAGCAGTGCCATTAGCTTGCCCAGGATCAATGTCAGACTGACAGACCTATAATTACCTGCCTCATCCCATTTAACCTTATTTAAATACTGGCACAACATTAGCTTTCTTCCAGGCTTCTGGAACGTCCCCAGTGTTAAAATATCCCTTAGTGTAGAAGAATAAATAATCAAAAAGGAGAGAAAACATTGTGCTTGAACTACAGTTGTCATGATTGCTTATTATTATGCTTACCATTTTAAAAAAGAGGTTTATATTTTATAGAGAGTAAGAAAGATTGACAAAGGAGTATAGTTCTGACAAGTTCAAATATTGGCAAAACTGGGTTCTTAGATGTCTCATTGATAGAAATGGGTAAATTACCCATATATTTATCCTGATCATTATCTGCCCTCTAAAACTTGGACCAAAGATTCCAGAAAACATTGTGCCTTCTCTGAATTCTGGAAAATCTATCTGAGACTTGCAGATTAATGGCATATATTTCCATTTAATGACAATGTTCTTGAGTACTTCCTGGGGAAGACAGTTATTCCATCCATATCCAGGTGAGATGCCAAGATGTGGGAGACAATAGGGATCCACAGACACTCACTGGCTGAAGTGCCTATAAACCCTGTTCAGACCAACTCTGGTCATAAGTCCCTTTTAAAATACATTCTGACTGGGCTTGAATTCAGAAGAAAGGCAATGATTGGATGTGGGGTCACCAAAACCTGAATATGACCCCCAAATGTACAAAGCAAATTATTCATTGATTTTTGGCATACATTGGCTTAGCACTGGCAAGGTGCATATGCACAGTTAAATATCATATACAAAGCAGATTAGCAAAGTGACAATTCCTCAAGCTCTGTTTTCAGTACAGTTACATTTGTCTAATTTTCCTCACTTAATAAAAAATGTTTTAAATCCATACCTTTACAAGCTTTGCCAGCTGGTACAAATGAACTTCCTTTTCATCATGCACAATGAATGGGATGTGCCAGATGCACACATTAGGCCATATTGTGTTTCCATATCTTCAGTCTTGGGCTTCTTTTCCCCTTCTAGCTCCTTTGAGCACATTGTAGACAAAAGAGCAGTATTCTACATCAGGTAGGAAATTCAAGGCAGTGTAATGGAAACAAATTTTGCAGGCTGGATTAATCCATCTCCTCTGCCAACCTGGACAATGTCTCAAGTTAGACATTGTGCTCTGAACAACACTAAGGTCCCAATTATGGTCTTGAACACTTAGAGCATCTCATTTTGTTTGTTAACTCTTAAATCTCACTGTAGCTAATGAGATGGAAGCTTCATCCACAGTCCTGCTGTCATTGAGAATAAACTGTGAAGTAGTGAATCTCCCTTCTAAATGGGATTTAGATCCTTACACATTTTATCGAGAAACTCCAGTGGGGCCATAGCTAACCATGACTTTTATATAAGTACAATGGGGTTTCGAAAAGAGTAAGTTATTTTTAGAAGAACTGGTGCATGAATTTATAGATACTATATCACATGCATACAATGTTGTTTGTTAATCAGACAATTACTCTTTTATGGGCCATATTGTCCCCTACATCATTCCACAAGAATTGGAATTTGTCCTGTGAACTGGACTGGGGTTTGGTCCCTGGAAACCACAAATTCTGTTTGTCCCCTTCCCTGGCCCCTCCCCCCAAAGCCAGGGCCACCTGTGGAGAGGTCCCCTGTGTCTCTGCTGCTTCTCAGCCCTCTGCAGCAGTGCCCCATTTCCCCCCTTCATATTGGAACCAAAGTCCCACAGGGATTTAGACAATAGAAAGACTGATGAAACCACAGAAGAGAACTGGCAGATTTTTTGCCCTATCCACCTCAATAGAATAAAAGTTGGGGTTGAGAGGTTGCCCTTTGGTTTCAGAACCTTTAGGATGAACTTGAGTTACATTTTTCAAGCTTTCCTGTGCAGCCATGAGGACTTGAACGTTACTATTTATCTTAAATGTAAGCTGAGATTCTCACGTAATTCATTGCCTTCAAGAGGTAGGACTTAAAAAAAAAATCCACAATATTGCAAGACCCAGGACTATTTTCTGTCTCTGTACATTTCTTTACCTCTGAAAAATCCTATGAAATTCGGTATTCCAAAGGGATTTTTATTCAGTATTCGTAATATCATTTATTCACTCAAGAGGCTCATCTCAGTATCAAAAGTATCGCCACATTTTCAACATCATCACCTGCAAAGAGGGGACTAAACCACAAAATTTGAGTCTGGATTTTAAACACTCAAGGGTTCAGGGGTGATTTCATCTGGGACTTTGCTTTGTCCTTTTATAGAAATGCAGACCATTTGTGAAATTTGGATCTAGGCTATGTCTACACTAGCAATTTTGTCAGTCAGGGGTGTGAAAAAACACACCCTTGACCAACATAAATGTCACCGACAAAAGAGCTGGTGTAGACAGTGTTATGCTTCCCCCAGGAAAAGTGCAGACCGGCACCAGTTCCAGTGCACGGGCTGGCATGGATACCTCTGATTCCCTCCCCTGTACCA